GTCCGGGGCCGGGAGGGGGGCAGACGAGTTTCCCTGGTGTTGGCCAGAGTGGCCACCAGGGAAACCTGGAGAGGGCTAGCCTTCCACTAGTTCGAGTTAAGGGGCTACACAGCCCTTAATTCGAACTAGTAAGTTCGAACTAGGCTTAATCCTCATGGAATGAAGATTACCTAGTTCGAACTAAGCACTCCGTTAGTTGGAATTAAATTCGAACTAACGGAGCGCTAGTGTAGCGCCTATGAAAGTTAGTTCGAACTAACGTCCGTTAGTTTGAACTAACTTTGTAGTGTAGACATACCCAAAGAGAGCAACAAGATTTCTTGCTCGGGCCACTGTTCTAATCTAGTTGAGGGTTATGGAATCTTTAAGTCAAGGGCTTTCTCCAGTCCAGCCTCTAATAAAGTAAAGAGGAGCTTGCAGATTTCCAGACCAGGAAGACTTAGTAGTATGTGGCTTCTCTGCACTGGCTACTGTTGCTCCTCCATAGGACTCAGACAGATCTGCATCTACTTGTATTTTCCCTCAGCCATATCCTGTTCTACCTGCATTCCCATTTATGGTCTTGGGGGTTGTTCTTTGCATGTCACTTCCCTGCAGCTCCAGACTCATCATGCAGGAGCTGCTTCCCCCCAAAATCCCAGCCATTTCTTCAGGGTTCTTTCTCCTGTCTGGCCACTGGCCAGGAGAAAGGGAAGTGCAGGGGGGAGGAGACTGATGACAGTTGTAGTTCCCTGCTTAACAGATTCATCACAATTTTGTCTTTGCTAAATGAAATGAAAAATAATGCAAACAACATTAACTAATATTTTGCCAACACTGTTGCAAATATTCCTATTAATACCTACATAAATAACTTAAGTTAGGCTGCTGAGGTACTGATACATCTGCATATCACATTGACCAATATTGTCTCATTGCTTCTTTATACTTCCCGATCTATCTTTTGTCTTGGGATAGGGTCTGTCGTCTTGTTTTGTTTTTCTACAGCTCCTAACATAGTGGGGTCCTGGATAAGGAATGAGGCTCCTAGCTATGACAGTGATATACATAATTAATAGAGTAAAAACTTATTAGAAACCCATGTAGTTTTCAGTACATGCTTTTTAAGGACTTTGGGTTTAATTTCCTGTCTGGTCTCTGTTATTGTCAGTTTCTCCTTTATATATTGTGGCTGGTCCTAAATAACTTGAAATGTTCATTGTTAACAACAATATCAATGAGGAAAATACAATATAGAAGCAGAATACAGGGATCTGTTCTAATGTCAGAGCCACATGAGTGTAGAACTGAAATTACATGTCACTAAAAGCTGCAGTCGCATTTCCATTCAGTTGTTTTTTCCTACACAGAATGGTCTAAAACAGTTGCATGAGATGAACAGTTGCAAATGTATAGCAATGACTTATACTCAGTTGTGTTGGATTAGTTGTTCTATCTATCTGTCAAAGGTGAATAATGATGACTCCAGTTATACCCCTCAGACACAAGAAAGGGGGAGTGCATGGCTGGAGATGGGTGGCAGTAGGAGTGCTATTCATGACATAAGGAGTATGCTCTACCGCCTCATTGTTTTGTCAACATTCTTCATGTTGTAGAACCCTCCATCCCCTGTGAGTGATATCAAGGAGCAGCAGGCAAATGCTTGATACTAGTGTAGCTCCAGTGGAGAGCCAGCACCCAACGTGCTATTCACAAAACTAGGTACTGGATTCTGCAGGGGAGTTTGTGAGTTAGCTGGTAGGGATGTAAAAATCACATGCTGGCACACAGTCCTTTTTTTTTTTTTTTTTTACTTCTCAGTAGGCTTTGACAGTTTTTAAAATATCTGGTTATTGTATGTAAATTAGTATGTGAATGAAATATGCTCCAAATGCCAGCATTTTTTCAGTATGTCTTTTATGTAGAACCATTCTGTCTGATTGCGCACTGTTCTTCAATAGCAATTAAGACTGGTAGAATTGGAATGACTGGCTATCCCACATCAGAAACTTGAAAGGAGTAGTCAGGGCCTTCTCTGTCAAGGGCATACATGCCGAGGTATATCCTGGACATCAACAGGAACCAGTTGCAGAACTTTTTGCTTTATGTTACTAAACAGGGATATGGGCATTTTGTGAAACAGTGGGTTGTTTTTTGGAGACATGTTCAAAGCTTCATTATCCTCCTCAACCTGGAGGCATACGAAATTTGAACAGACCTGCTTTTCTCTTGATTGCACAGAACAGTGCAAATTCCTTCTTTCCTCCACAGTCTGCTGGAGGAGGTGAAGGCCATAGAGGAGCAGAGATATTAAGGAGCACAGGAGCTTGAGAAAAGCATGACACTGGTAGGAGCAGAAACTGAAGATTCAGTTATGGATGAATGTGAAGTCAAGAGCAAGAGGGCTGTGAGTAACTGTAGTGCAGTGTGTATCTAGAGATGAGTAGGGTGCATATTTCACAGGATTTAGTGTGCACAGTCAAAGCAGATTGAGGAAAGAGAATATGAGAACACTGAGGGCATGTGTAGACTACATCCCTCTTTCGAAAGAGGGATGTAAATTAGGCAGATCAATAGCATAAATGAAGCAGGGATTTAAATATCCAGCGCTTCATTTGCATAATTGCATCAGAGTGGTCTTTTGAAAAGGGGTATTTTGAAAGTGAAACTGCCATCTAGACGTGGTTCTTTCGGGGAAAAAAACTGTACAGGATCTTTTGAAAAAGGGTTTGTTTGTTTTTCCAAAAGAACCGCGTCTAGACAGCGGTTTCACTTTTGAAATACCCTTTTTCAAAAGACCGCTGTGACACGATTATGCAAATGAAGTGTGGGATATTTAGATCCCCACTTCATTTGCACTTGCAATCTTCCTAATTTATATCCCTCTTGAAAAGACGGATGTTGTCTAAACATAGCATGAGGGGAAGGAGAGGAAAAAAGGGAACACAGAATGTAGAGTGTAAATGGCCTGGAGGTCAAGAAGCCAAAACAACACTACAAAGAAAGAATGACATATTCCCTTACCAATGTGAGGTGTCCATATTTTGTGAATGTTAGAGCATGTGGGAATCCAAGGAAATCAGTACCACTCCAGTAGTTAGCAATCCACTTTGTCTCTACGTCATGTGAATGTTGACCCTTTTAGTCTGTTGTTTGGAAAGTTTAAGATCCTTTAATGGAACCTGCTATGTTTAGGGCCATGAAAAATGTGTGTCAGACTGTAAAATCTAGTCTTCTCCTGTGAAATCTGATCTTTTGTTGTTTTTTACCCTATACTATACTGATATCATGGGAGATACCAATATTTTTTTTCAAATTGGGTTCCAAAAACAAGTTTCAGGGGGATGCAAGATTATTGTAGGGGATATCATGGACTTGCCATAATTACTTCACCTTCAGTGCTGGTTGTTCGGAAATTGAGCAAAAAGGAACCATGAATTTGCTAAGGTCCTGGTATATGAGTACAAAGTATTATTCTTACTATGTGTTATGGGAGCCAGATCATTCTTAAGTGATGCTTGCATGATCTTTGTTTTGTGATGGGTTTATCCATAATTCTGCATGTTATGTACTTTTTTTCCCCTCTGAGGACAATGAGTTAACAGCTATTTAGGTTATAGTTCAATTTGCTTCTTTTTAAAGATTGTATATGCACAATCTAAGGTTAGTTTTTTCAGTGCTTTTGTAAATTTCCATGCATCACCCCATATTATCGTTTTTTCTGCAGTTCCATAATCCCTTTTTTATTTAAAAGTTTCCTGTGGATAGATATACAACACACACTTGCAAAAGTTTTAAAGCCAGAATTATATTGTACTTTCTGATCAAATAGAAAACAAAAGCAGGAGGTCATCTCCAACAAAGCCATTTGTAGACAGGGTAAAGGTACTGATTTTGTGGGTATCTCCTGTCAGCAAAAGAAACAAGAATGGTCTGAAATTAAAATAATAGCTTGGTTCAGATTTCTGTGGCAACATCAGATGTTCAATGTTTCACTGATATTATAGCCTGCCTGCCTGATGTGAAGGACATAAGCAGTGAATGCTGTTTATTTTTCCCAGTGACTTTTCAAATTATCATTTTCTTTGGTCTTGTGGTTTATCAGCAGTATTCCAAACTATTAAAATTCTCACCAATCAACTCACCTTTGGCGTGTGTTCAATAGGCTGCTTCTCCAACTCTGAAAGTTATTTCACATCCTTTTTCTTTGCTTCTAATTCAACATTCATTGTGTCTAATTGCAGGGTAGAGACATGATTACACTCCAAAGAATTACAATCAAAGTTGGCTTGTTAGTGTATAAAGCTCTGGCTGTTAATCACAATCATTTAAGCAGTAGCTAACCTTCACTAAAACACAGATGGCATGTTGTTATCATTTAGAGCTACCCAAATCAGACACTGTTGCCGTATCCCAAACAGGACTTCACAGTTATGTCTTTCAGTACTGCTTCCATTCTGTAACAGTAGATAATATCAGTTGGGTTTGATAGTGTTTCAGTTACTTAGGATAAACATATGAATTTTGTACAGCTGTAGTATCTCATTCAAATAAAATCCACATTTCTTGCACTGGAAAGGAGTCTAGCCACTCAGCCCAGACAAAAAAGAAATAATTTACAGAACAATCAAGACCACTTTCTGTTTACTTTGATTAAAATCACTAAAAAAGAATGTTACAGATACATGCATACTGCACTGTAGAAACCCTTTTTCAAGCTTGATTAGTAATGAGAGTTTGAAAAGCTTCCTCATCCTCATGCTTTGAGAATGCTAAGGTCTGGTGAGTTTCAGTATACCATAAAGTAAGTAGCTGCCTGTTGTCTTTTTTCAATGCTACTGACCTAAATAAAACCCAGCTACTGTACGTCGGGCACTAGAACAAATCATAGTGTCAGTGTCAATCCATTAAACAAAGATGTTTAAAAAGAATTATGAAATACATGATATAGCACTACAATCCACTTCCAAACACCCTGCATTGCTACAAAAACATAATGAGGCAAGGATATAAACTGTGGAAAAGGAAGTGAGATCTTTTGAGAGTCCATATAGTTGAGTAGTGGCATGAGCGAGAACACCACAGTTTGAATCTTGGTCATGTCACTGTTTGCTGTATGGCCCAGGACTGATTGCTCCCAATGCCAGGCAAAACTCAAGCTGAACCTCAAATTGGTATCATCATCACATGTAGGTCTGGGAAAGGCGTAGCAAGTGTTAGTTATAAAAACCTCTCTGACCATGTATGAGCAGGCACTTTCTTTTTCTCATAGTAATCTGGCGATTTTGCTTATCACATTTTCCTTTGTCTGGGAAAAGGAGCAATTTTCTCCATCTGAATTAAACATCTGTAAATCTAGCTTATTACCACTAACAAGTAGCAAAGACACATAACATTCTGTAACCTGCTTAATCCTCACTATCAGGGAATTAAAGTTCTGGACTATTTTCTGACCTTTTAACAATATGCATTTGTATAATCAAACTCTTTGAAATTGAGTTCATGCAAACGGCAGCGAGTATAATGTGAAATGTTCAAATGCAAATTAAATTAATTTGTTGCTTTCATTAATCATCCTCCTTTAGATTAATTTTCAAACTTTACATGTTTGTTTAATCTTGGTGCCTTCTGATTTATTCATGAAATGTTGCTCTCCTGTGCTTTGAAATGGCCTCTGTCTATTGCAGCATTTTCAATAAGAGATTTTCCAGCCTATATTTTTAATAAGGTTGCTTATATATGTATTTGTTTTCAAACAAAAATCATGTCTTTTGGGTATTCATTAACCAGCTATTGCAAACAATGTCTATTTGAGGAAATCTCATCAATTTAAAGTTCCAGAGGAGATCACCAAATGTCATTCCAATAAAAATGAAATTTGCATGCAGTGCTTCATTTGCAAGCAATGTTTGTTTGTCTTCCCTGGCATTTATTACAGTGATCAAGCAACTGAAATAATCTGTATATTATGCAAACCAGTCCATTCCCTAGGAAACTTTGTGGGCTTTTAAAAATATATTAAGCAAAAATGATTAATGTAAAGGTCTGATGTCAGGCAGAATGAACAAGAATTGGATCTTGTCACAAGAAATTCTTGTTGCTGTCATTACAGGTGACTAACCTATTTCAGGCAATTAAATGTTCTGATACGTTGAGGGGTGTATCAGTAGGATATGCTTTATTGTGAGTGACTTAAGCAGAATGAAGGATGGCTTTACTTGATTCCTGGCTAATTGGATTATTGTCCACTCTACCAGTGTAACCACAAGGTTCAGTAATAGAGTTGAAGCTGAGAAAATGCTGGTTGTGTAGTGAAATGAGCTTTTAGCTAAAGAGAATTTCAATGGAGAAATTCTAGCACAGCTGGGAACCAAATGTTAACAGTACATATAACTCTCCTACCTCAATAGTGTCATGCCAGTGATTTGAAAAGGTCATGTTTTTTGCAACAAATGGTCAAAATCCTTGTGCTTCCATAATCTCTATAAAGAAAGCCTTTTCCATCTCAATACTAGGTAGTTTGTTTTGAGGGAGGGAAATAAAAAGATAAATTTACTTAATGAAATGCTTTGATTAGTTACAGAGTGTAGTTTTCTGGTAAATAAAGTAAAATATTGCTACCAATTTATGTTTTTAGTATGCACATATTTAGCTAGTGGAAGGCATTGCAGCAAAATTCTCACAGGCCAGCCTCCCTTTGTTTTGGTGTGAAATCACCGACATGTACTTGTTATATTGCACTCAAACATGTGGAAGCTGGATGAAAAGTTTGAACAGTTGCCTTGCAGCAAACTCGAATTTCAGTAGACTGTTGCTAAATAAAAGTGTGTACAGGCAGTCCCCGGGTTACGTACAAGATAGGGACTGTAGGTTTGTTCTTAAGTTGAATCTGTATGTAATTCGGAACTTGAAATCACCGACATGTACTTGTTATATTGCACTCAAACATGTGGAAGCTGGATGAAAAGTTTGAACAGTTGCCTTGCAGCAAACTCGAATTTCAGTAGACTGTTGCTAAATAAAAGTGTGTACAGGCAGTCCCCGGGTTACGTACAAGATAGGGACTGTAGGTTTGTTCTTAAGTTGAATCTGTATGTAATTCGGAACTGGCGTCCAGATTCAGCCGCTGCTGAAACTG